GTTTCTTTTTATATGGTGAACATACCACATTTTGAAATGAGCCAGTATATATGTTCATTAAGAGGGCTAGAGAAAGACGACTACTGATTCGATAGAGTGCGACGGAAGCAATTCAAGCAAGAGAAATGCTCTAGAGTGAGAAAAGGATATTTATAAGACTATGTCGAGCACAATTGAAACCGAAATCGGGAATGGAAGTCAAAAATGGAAATTTTAACGAAAATTGAAGGATTATCAATCGATGTTAGACCGCCGAACGGCTGTGGAAAGCAGGGACATCGAGATGGATTGCGAAGATCAAGACCTGACCCGCGCCACACCGCTGATCTAAAGCAGGGACGAGCGGAATAAGCGGCATAAAGGTCGTGTGTGGCTTGCCGAGAGGAAGAGAGGTCGTATTGGGGACATCAATGAACAGAGCAGTAGCAACGTTAGTGGAACATTGCCCTCGTTTTTGTGCTTCGCCGTGGAACGTGGTAAGCTGATATCGACGCAATCAGTTGGGATGCTGCCAAGAGGCACGGTATGAGCCCCCATAGGGTTTTTGATAGTGCTCGTTTTTTTCCTAAGCCCACCATCACCAACCGATCACTATTAGTAGAAAAGGCAGCCCGAGGCTCATTTCGTCCCTTTAGACACCGCTGTAAGCTACGTTTGCCTAACTATGACAAAGAACTCATCAGCTGGCAGAGGCTATTTGGACCATATTAGGTTCACGCTCCATAGATTTCTATTTCTACAAATGTTCGCGTGTTCCGGGTAATTTCCCAACAATTTCGATTTTAGAGCCATTTTGAAGTCACGAGGTAGAAGCTCCGAGTACAACTCGCACGCCCCAGAGTTGGCAGCACTAGTGCAGAAATAAACAGGAAAATGTAGGACTATGAGAGCAGGACTCATTTTCTCCATTTCATTTTTTTCCTTTATTTAGGAGCAGTTTATCAGAGAAGTCCGCTAACTTACCATGGAACTTCAAATGGAGACCTGGGTTTGTTGATAAGGTCCGGAATACTCCTTGCAGATATGGGAACCAAAATTCCTACCTGCATCTCACAAGCGAGTCATGAGCAAGCAAAAACCCAAATTTGCTTAGCACTTGTCACCAGGGCTTCTGTAGCATGGACCCTCTGCGTTTATATAAAACGGATGTGATATCTGTGATCAGGAGGTCAAACGTTTCAGCCAAATCAAGACTATGACCAAAACTTCGACAACTTTCACTGAAGCGTGAGAAGAGCATACAATCTGCTTCTCATTGCACAATTCGTGATCCATTTTATAAAGAGTTTTACGATTTACGATTTATTTACAGTTTTATGCGATCGAAGTACAAAACGGTCAGAAGATGGAAGGACCGTGGGGCATAGTGCAGACGAATTATGAACAGTGATTACTCAGTTTGTATTGAAACTAATGACACTGTCGGAACTATGTGCCTGTGCAAGCGAAAGGCTGTGGCTCAGGAAGGTGCTTCATTTGCACTGCAACTATCCTGTAAGACGCCTGTCATGTCAAGTACTTGACCGGCGCTTATATAGCGCTACTTTGGAAGAATATCAAAAAATCGGAATAACTGTTTACAGCGGTGATAAAGCAAAAATATACGCCCCAGCGGGGACCAAACCCAATTGGTACCGCTTCTCAACCGAGAGATTGACCAGTGCGTTACAGCCAACTTTATGGGCCGTAAAGCAGAACTCTTGATGTGATGTGCCATGAATATGATGCATGGGCATCGCACCTTGTAAGCTCTAGGAGCTTATAACTCATTTGCGCAATACAGGTAGCAGTTTTGGTTTCCATATTTGTAAGCAGCATTCTAGACCCTATTGATCTACCTAGGCCTCTTTTCAAAGTTCCCTGGTAAGTTAGCGGACGTTCCCCCTTAGTTAGCCGAAGATCTCAATGGTTCAGATGATCCAAAACATTTTATTTCATCCCTTGTGCAAACTTAGGCAGCGTTCATAGCTCGCGACTCGCGCGACGCGGGAATGCCAACCTCGCTTGTCTCTGGATCGCTGCAGCTGCTAGTTCAATTACAAACACCTACCTACTTAGGACTTTTCAGCAGTCCAACGAATAGCGATGGAGCTCCATCAGTCGCAGGCCTGCCATTGAATCTCTCGGGTCGCTAAGTATGAACGCGACCCAAGTTTGAGTTGTCCTCCCGACTGTGTGCTCAGCACGGGCATATCAACCTGCACAGTTTTTTTTCTTGTGGATTGAGTGGACACTGCAGAGAATTGGTCTTTTAGCCTGTCAGTATGCTGAAGTTAACCATTTAAACTCAGATATCCAAACAAGAAATAGGTGAGAAAGTGAATAGTAAATGCATAAACAAATAACAAACATGTAACAGTTATATAAAGAACAAATAACTCAGCAGGTAGGAAGTCACTGAGCTTTCACCATATTGTGATGCGCCACGCTCGCGATTCAGATGCATGCTAGCACAGGGGAGATACAGCATTTTTTTTCGAAATCCGTCTAAGAGAACGTGATAAACGGGATCGGTACGAATTGCATCGTTTGCCCCCCCCCCTTGTGGAGGCTTACCAAGTAGAGAATTACAACTAAACATAATAATCACATAGTTTGTCTCACGCCCTCCCCCTCCTTTAAAGACTCACTAAGTAGGGATTCGCAGCCAAACATTATAAGTAATCAAATCAGATAGTCAAATAATTTATTCCCTATATAAGATTCGACTGCTAATGAGTGCGCTACAATCTTATTCGCTGCGGATGCTGGGGCATGTCAGGGGAGGAGCTGGGTTTGGCATGACCTCAGCGCGTTTTCGACCTGACTGTTGTCCCTTTCCTCTCTTAGACAGTGGGTGAATAATAGGCTAGCGCCACGCCAATCTTTGCCTCTGATGCCCCCCGCCCTCCCAAGCACGCCCCAGCATCTGCGGCAAACAACACTTTCTACCTATACAATGTTATCCGTTGTACGAATCAAAGTTCTGTCCTCTCAGCTGATAGAAGATTTGATCGGAATCGACGACGTGCCGGTAGGAGATCCACGCCGCACTGCGGCAACGCAGCGAAGGAGTGCTGCATGGCGGAGGTGTGCGGGGCACTTGCGCGGCACTCACACCAGGTCCGGACTGATTGAGGCTGGGATTGCGACTATTTCAAAAGCGACTGTTGAGATATCGGCTAGTTTGTGATTGCTGTCAGAACGCTAATCTCCCATGCCACGATAAGATCTCAACCGCGATTTGATACCCGGGCCATGGGATAGTGACTGCAGAAATATCCACAGCCCGCGCCGCAAACTGCGAATACTGCATCTCTGCAACCGAGGGTAAATCTGCAATATTCTATTTGTCATCTTGTTGGGCATTGTTCTACCATTGCATACTCCTATGGAATTAGAGGGGCACACTGTCGGCAGCATGCGTCTTACCGCTGGGGAGGTTTCTGGAAAATCGACTTTTGCCCTGAAGATTCTTACTCCGGTACCACCTTTTTTCCATTCACCTTTGCCAGGCACCCATCATCTTCCTGTGTCTTCTCGACCTGCTAGTACTTTTTTCAATAAAAAAATTTTAATAAAGTTTTTTTTTTCAGGAGGGGAGGGATGGGGTGGAGAGGAGGTCGCCTCCAAACAGCTGCCAATTTGAGCTACCGAAAATAGTATTCATTCAGAGCCTTGGAGGCGCCACCAACTGATGTGGATGACGTGCAACAGGGAACTCCATCAAGAAAAGAGCTATCGCTAGCAAAATACGGCCCCTTGACTGAATGCGCCTCGCCTCTGAAAACTGCTCAACGTAGGACGTGCACTGCTTGTCAACCAAGCTTCACTCGCTACGCTTGACGATACTACGGTTACATACCTCTGGGCCGCACAGCTGCTATTGCCCCACACCCCCCTCCCCCTTGGAAGTGGCTTGCACAGGTTCTTCCCCGTTTCAAAGGTCCTAATGAAGGCAGTAATGGCGCTGTGTTGACCATTCGAGGTTTAATAAGGAAAGAGCACTATGTAAAACTCCGTACCGTTCCCGTACATCTCAAAATATTTGGTATGACAGTCGCATCCCAAAAGGATTGGTCTTCATATTGGAGCTTCTGCTACGAGTAACTCACGCCGTGGTGGGAATTTCTGCGAAATGAGACCCCCAATAGTTTTCTCCCTAGGTACGATCTTTCCCCATTCCACACCCCATCTTACTGACTTTTCCCAACTTTCTACCACTTTTTCCCATGTTCCGAAAAAGAATCGAGATTTTTGACCAAAAAATAACTAGAAATACCCGATGAGTGCGCAGTGGAGCAAGGGGAGGTGGTCACCGCCAAGCATCTACTATTTTTAGCTTTAGCCCCCTCTCCCAGTAGAAGTCTCCAACACAGGGCAGTGCACTCACAATCAGCAACCAGAAGATTCCTTGAGCCAAATGCCGCTCCTCCATTCACCGACAAATAAAGCATCCTTTGGAAATTCCTCAGTGTACGACGTGCCCGCTGAGTGAGACACTGAAGCCGCCGTCTTTTGAACCGTTAACGCCTGAAGCGGCTGGTTCGAGTTCCAAGCAGCCAAGCCACAGATCCAGCTCGGCATTTGTCTCATTGGATTTGGTGACTTGCCGAAAAAGGTCTCAAATACCATGAAAAATGGCTAAATTCCTTCTTCTGAATAACTTTACCCTCCCAACCCCAACGTCCCATGGCTATTTCGAGAATTTTGATTTCGCGGTTGTTTACTTGATTCAGGGGACGACATCGCAGCGCGGCTGCGTCGCGGTTGGCTCAGTCATCCTTGGTTTCCGGATTTCGGGGATCTCACATAAATTTCAATAATCTAAATTTTTTAGTGGTGCTTACATTTGTTCTTTGTTTTCCTTTTTCAGTTGGGTTGAACGTATGCCATGTTTCAATGCAAGTGTGGGCGCTGATCTGGAAGGGGCGTGAGGGGAATTTCTTTTCCTGCTTCCCCGTTTCCTCATAGTTGTATTGAATCCATCTTGCTTGATTAGCAAATGAATCTGTTTCAGAATGGCCGATCCTGTGGCTGATTTTCTTGCACGAGAACAAGATCTGCTTGCTGAAATCGAAGGAGCACCAGCTCCTGCTGCTGCAGCCATAAATCCTCCAATTCCTGCTCCTCCTGCTGGTGAATATTGCTTCTTCTCTTTTTTTTGCTTTGGAATTCCGTCGAGCACAACATTTACATTTTGTTCGCAATGGTTTGTGCTCTAAATTTGATCATGATCGCTATTTGAAAGGACGAGATGACGATGAAGAGCAAATTGCAGACGATTTTGGTGGTTTGATGGGACCTCCATCGGTTGGAGGAGGAGATTCAGGCGTTGATCTTGCTGGTATGGATTACCAGGCAACTCCACCAGGTGCAAATCATGAGCTTTATTTCTACGTTCCGTATTTCCAAAAGCATCTTAGAACACAGTTTTGTGTATCATGAAAGGGCTCCAGAATTTGATTACACGAGAGCTTCTCTAAGGAACTCGGAATTCTGTGTTATATTTGAAAGAACTTGGGGAATATCGCCTATGTCGGTCAGCTGAACAGTACTGTTTATTCCAAACACTCAAAATAAGTTTCTGAAACTTTTTTTTCGATGTTCAAATCAGCACTCGCAGAAAGCTGGCAGCTAATCTGAAATGTTTTCAATTGATCTCTTTGGGCGCGTTCATACTTGGCGATTGGATCGTGTGATCATCCTTAGTTTGAGTGGGCTCTGAGACGTAGTTCAGGCCGCTGGAAGAGCAAGGCAAAAATATTCACGAAAATATTAGGGTGCTTTGCGCTAACGGGGTTGGGGGAGGGAGGAGAGGAAGGAGAAGAACTCGGCAGCGCCTAGATATCCCTTTTTCAAAACACTGCTTACTCTTAGTCGAGATATTGTCGTCTCTGCGAGTCTACCCGCGGCGACCCTGGTATTCTAGCCTCTAGGCCTTGGTTAACAGACCCCTCTCCCCCGTAGCTGATCGGACAACGTTAACTTAATCGCTTTGATGGTGTAAATTTTCTCTTTATCTCCTCGTCCTCGTCTGTACGGCATTTTGTGACCACTGTGTTCTCACACATTCCAGATTTAAGGAATTAGAAATGATCTTACTCATTCCGACGTCCCCTCCCTTTCGGAAGCCTGTCCTCAAGCTCACCCTGTGTGTTTTGCACCCTTCGGTTCTTTGGCAACCACCGTCCGCTAACTGTCCGTGCTACAGGGTCTCGCAACAAAACCATGTAAAAGAAACTTCTCACGCACCTTCACCCTCACCTCCAAACCCAAACTAGGCCGAGACTTTTGAGTTCCCTTGAGATGTTTGATTTCGCAGTAAACTTTTTTGAACTATCTGTTAGGCAGCGCTCAGAAAGGTCATCGTTGAAGTCAGCTTTGACAGATCTGGAAAACGTTTTCACCTTTGTTGCAAAAGATGTAGATCGCTGTCTCTCGTTTTCTACGGGTTGGGGGTTGGGATTCACTACGTAACACAACATCCTACGTGTGTACATCTGTGCGTAGCCTCCTGGTAACTGATTGGGTTGCCTTAGTTCTGCTGTTCATCTCTGAAGGTGGTTAAGACGAATAAGCGCTCAGAAATTCCTGGTTTTCCGTATTTCAGGCAGTTTTCCCCAATTTTCTCTCTGATACATAGAACAAAGTTTTTAGTGCCATTGGTTAATGGAACTGGAGTGAACAGTCATCAGTCAGCTGCAAGTTCAAAAGGAGCTTCTCCTGTTCCTACTGTGCCACGTATCGAGGCTGAGAACATTCGCAGATGGCGTGAACAACAAAAAATCCTTCTCGAGAAGAAAGGTAACTACTCTTTGCAAGTTCACTGCTTGCTACCAATGATCGCTCCATTTAAATTCATCGTTAGAAAAATGAAACGAGGGTGGAAGCAGGTTATTCCGCAAAATTAGACCCCACCGAGGCGGTCCTGGTGCGTGATCCCCGTCTAAGAGCACGTGATTGTGCTGTCAAAAGACTGCTGAATACGATATTGCGAATCCTTCTACCATTTTTGTTGCCTACCAAGTTTTGCTGATATTTTGCAGTGGAGTGAGGAGAAGGGGTAGTACCCCACTTTCGCCTACCATCAGCTAGGCCACGCCGGTAAAGGAGAAACGAAAAAAATGGACAATCAATAATGTTTTCTCGGCGCCAATTACAATCGCTGTTGTGTTTTACGCAGCGATGATTTGTCAGTCCCATCATTCCAAAGTCAAGGGGGAAAGGAGCACGAGAGTCTAGAGCGCGGGTAGGCAACTTCATCGAACCCCTTCTCTCTGCTCCAGTACTAGCAAGACTTTCGCGTTTCGTACTGCCCATCCGGTTTTATAATTTTCTAACGTCCGAATGAAAAATGCTTCAGATGAGGCAGAAGAAAAGAAGAAGAATGAGCTTCGTAACATAGCAAAGAAAGAGTTGGAAGAGTGGTACAAGCAACGGGAAGCAGCCCTTAAGCTAACAAAGGAAGCTAACAGGTAACGTTGTTTAGCATCACATCCCGTTTTCGCCTCAGATTGCGTTCATGCTTTGCGGCAGCTTTTTGAGCGAACAGGAAAGTATAGGTATCGATCCAGCCTTTCAAGCTTGTGCCAGCGTTTTCAGCGATAATCAAAACCTGGCACCTATGCTTCCTCGGTTGCTCCAAATGCCGCCTCAAAGAATGAACGCACTCTCGCTGTTTGTCTCAAGTTGTTTATCTGTCCCATCATTACGACACATCACTTGTGAGAATGTTTTTGACAGTTTCAACAAGAATTAATGGCTGGGGGAGGGGGTGGGTAGGGGCAAAGGTGCTTGTTTTATCTAAGAGGCACTTCACCAAAGTACAGTATACCAAAATACCAAAGTATGACGGGGTGTTCCACTGCATTCTCTTTTCTCTTGGTTTTTTCTTCAGGGGAGCGATCACGTGGTATGAGTCGCTTGTTGCTCTCATACGTGCAGAATTCATCGTTCTCGGGAGAGCTGGGGAGGCAAACTATCATGCCGTGAATAATCAGCGCTTTTACGTGCTCATTATGTTCTATTCCTTAGCGAAGGCTATTTCGCTTACCGACCCTTATCAGTTAATCATTTTTTTCTGTTTCTGTTAAAGCGCTCTACTGCCCTCACAATGGACGTTCTAGAGCTAGTTCTGGAGCTTTAGCATCTGCGACTTAGGACTTCTTTTTCTTAGTTTTCTTCAAAGATTCCAGGGATTTATAATTTTGCCTTTACTGTGAGCCGACGAAACTTCTTAGGCCGCTGTCATGCGCTGCTGTGGAAGTATTTCGATTCAAGAGAACCCGCGACTTGGGAGTGTTGGCAATTCGGGGGATTGCGCAAAAAGAAAAATGTCCCTTCTGCTGTGGAGAATCGGGAAAATCAGTATTATTCTATTCCCATTTTGTCCCTGGCTCAGGCTTCAGATCGATTTGCTCACCTTCCTTTTCCTTCCCTCCAGCAGAGCACATCATCGACGTATGTCTAATTGAGGTCTCGCTAGAACTCTTCTGTGAGTTCCCTCCTTTTGTATCCCTCTTTGAAACCTCCATATTATCTCTCCAAATTTGCTAAAAATCTTGCTGTCAAGGCGGTGTGTGGGGTAGCACCTCCGATCAGTTAGGAGATGTAAAAGGATTGCCGCCACGATGGCTAAGAGGCTACATAGCGCGCTAGATAAGAGGAATTCGCGGTAGAACTCTTTAGACTGTTCCACTGTGTGACAGATGCGATCCCCTCCATGGCGGCCAAATACGACCCCCTCGTGGATTCTTCCAGTTCGCGGATTCCCATATTGCAAGATATGAATGCGACCATAGTAGCCAAAAGGTTGGAGTCGTTTCTCGCCAGAAGCTTGCCCCCCCCCCTCCCACCATTAGGCGAATACTCACGCCATGCATATCTTTGCAGTCGTCTTCCTCAAAAAAGTATTTGAAGCGCAGTAGAGTTGACAGTTCCATTCACGTGGCGCCTCTTCTGCGGGATACGACAAAACTGTCAATCTAAAGATATTCCTCTTTGAATATTCCTTTTGTTCTCTCACAAGAATCTCATGTAAGGCAAGAAAAGGCCATGAAGTTCCTGGTTCATGGATTTTCTAAGAACGTCAGTGATTCGCATAGTCCTCCTGTAGCTATGTGATGTGTTTATTTTTCATGCAGAAATGTTTACCAGGCTGCGCAGCTTATAATCTGCCACTTTCGTTGCAGTTTGTTTACTTCGTTCATCTTCTAACTCCCAGTTATTCTTCATGTTTATATGATCGCAGCTAGAAAATGTGCATTATTTCACGCATTCCCTCGGAGATGGTTCCTACTTCGCGGCAGTGCTTCGAGCGTTTCAAGCGACTAAGAAAGGTGTAGGTGCAGCGCCTGAGCGTCCGCCAGCTTGTTGAACACTAAGAAAGTATGGGTATCTATTATCGATTGGGCAAAAAAAAACTCAAAACGCTGCTGCAGGGTATGAACGCGTCATTGCCTGAATTAGTTTTGGGCTTTGTCGTGTGCTATGCAAACCTCACGAGTCTTCAGCGTCTAAGAACGGATAGCTCATCCATAAATCTCACTGCCTATTTCTGGAAACGTCACCCAATCCATAAATTCTTTAGCCTTGATTGAACTCTCAGAGATCTGTTACAGAAAGGCGGAGCAAGAGCACTTAGCAGCGTTTGGACGTGAACAGGGAGAAGGTGCCCAGTGGGACGAAATCGCACGACTGTGCGAGGCAAAAGCTACTCAGAAAGGTGGAAAGGATGTTAGCCGTCTGAAAAGTCTCTTACTTCATCTCAAAGAACAGAATCAGAACCGCAAGTAAGTTCTTCATATTATGAAAAGATCTTTTGGCACTGTTCAAGGTACAGGATTCCCTGCGAAGTCAAGTTTGTTGGAAGGACAAATAAGGTCCTACTTGTAGCGTAAGGAAAATTTCATTCAACATAAATCCCATTCCACTAAGTCAAAACTATTTGTCCCCTGTACCTAAGTCGTTTCCTCCAGCATTCAATCCTCTGTGGGAATTACAAATTGATAACTTCCAGAGGAATAATCTAAGATGAGATTTCGCAAGTTTCCGAGAGATAGTCTCGTAATGGCTACGAGTAACCATAAAGCGATGAGAAGGTAGTAAAACAGTCTTCTTCGGTCTATTCTTCAGTGCTGCAATTCGTACACTGAGGGGGGGGGGGCTTCTTACTGACATTTTCGCAGCTCAGGCTATCTTTGTACCAAAATTTCTCGGCGAAAAACATCACAAATTCACAAGTCCCTTGAGAGCTCGTCTTCAGGAGCTGTTTGATCCTTCAGCATTTAGTGTGGCTTGGTGCCCTCGGTACATGGTCGCGCTGAAGGAGGCTTGTGGCGGCAGACCTGTAGCGTGGGAGCCACGCGCTTTTGTGATGTGATACTCGCGTTCTAGGCCGAAGCTGCTCTTGGTAGTGAACGTTTTCTCAAGTCTATCCGCATTCACGATTTCTGGGAAAAACTAAGAGCGAATCTGGGCAGCTGAGGGTGAATGGTGACGACAGTAGTACGGTTCAATGAATCTGATTCGCTTTTCCAAAATCCTGCCATGAGCAGCGAGTAAATGGGTTTGTAAATGGTTTCAGCTTGCTTTTGAGCCCGCTAGAGAAGCCTGTATTATTTGAGACGAGGGAGCTCCTGGTTGGACCGCCCCACTGCAGCTGCTCACAAGTAAAAACCTCTCTCTTGGCCTCGCCCCCCGTCTACCTTGGCTCAGCTGCCGGGAGAGACGGGAGACGGACAAGGCAATCGTAATTTGCCGCGTCATCGCACGAGGCGCAACATGTGGCCTACCTACTATTTTGAATGAGTGATGTTATTTTTGGGCATTAACGTGCGGTGGGTGGGAGCGGGGGGGGGGGGGGAGGGAAGCAGCGGTTCTGTGTTTCCACCTCCAGAGAAAGGTAAAATTTAAAAGAGACCATGTTTTCGTTGGGAAGTTTTCCATCGGCAACTGACCGTCTGCGCTCTGAGTCGGCGCGCACCCCGTCTCTCTCCACTGCCCCTCCCCTTCAGCTCGTAGCTAATGTTTTCATTCTAGTTCCACCCAGTCGTTTACGTGTTTTCATTACAGGTAACTCACATCAACATTCACGGAACTCTTACACATCTGATGGTGTCTCCGTACCATTTTCTTGTATTCTACTCTTATTTCACTTCAGAGATTCCGCGGTTATTCATATTTTCAAATGTAGTCTTGAATGTAACTGAAAACTTCAAATGTATGTTTTTTTTTCATGAGAGAGTAGTCTGAGTTAAGTTGTGATGTGTTTTTACGTATGTGATTATAGTAAAGTACATGTGTAGACTTCTGTTTGTTGTGGGTCTTTCACACATGATTTTCATTGTGCAAGATCGCGTTTTGTTTCCGGTTTCCTCTGTTCTGCCCTTCACCATCGCTTGGAGACCATAGCATAATGCGCGCTATGTAAGAACTTGCCGTTTAATTGAATGCAAATGTGTGCTAAAGGTGATTGGAACTAGGAAAGCAACCACATTGGGATGGTTACATGTGAAGATTTATTATATATTTATTTCCATTTAATCCTCTTTTTTTTGTTCACAGTCGTTATGCTGTGTAATAAACCTTTGTTGTACCCCCATTTATTCTCATTTTCACCCTTGTGATACATATTGTAGAGAATGAAATATTTGTTACAAGTGAAATAAGTGCGATGGGAATGTACTGAACATCACCGCCAAGTATTTTTCGAGATTTGTGGGCGGAGTTCGGCAATGGGGCGGGCATTTTGCTCTTCTGCTCTTTCCATCGTGTCGACTCATATGGAGACCTGTAAACTCTCGTAAAACGATATAAAGTCATATAAGTAGCACGGTGGTGGCTTGACGAACTTAATCCAGACACGAGTAGTAGGTTGTACACTCGTGGGGTTCCAGACACACCGTAACTAAAGTAAGTAACTAATGAAGCAGCGGAAATGCGGAATCGCCTTCATCGCCGAACTGCGCCATTTTATGCTGTGAGTTTTATTAAAGAACTCGGAGAGGTTTTCCAGGCTCGTTGGCCTGCTGTTCATCCGTAGAGTTTGTCTTCGTGAAGATATTGAAGCACTTAATTACCATGGACACTGGGATGGACGGTTGGTTTGATGAGTATTTCAGCACTTTTGACAATCTCATCGCAGTTTGGGCTGGAAGGTTGTGCGTAAAGGCCCTCAAAAATTCCATGGCAGATGTGCTCTCAGGCACAAGTTCCAGAAAAAATCAAGATCAAATTGTAAGGATTGTAGCAGAGGGAGGCGGGGGGGGGGGGTGGGGAAGTGCCGACACTTGCTATACCCTCATGAAGGGCATGAGGCGTCCAGCTGTTGGGGAAAATTCGTGCAAACTAGGACCTTGCAAATCACAGTTTCCCACCGTAGTGCTGCCTCGTTCAAATTTCTAGCGCTGGTACAATCGCTCACCGTCAAGTTCCCTCTGGTTTACCAATCTTTCCATACTCCATCTTGTCTACCATTTTCCTGAATTTTCCTAACTTTCTACCATTTTTTCGAAGCTTCTGGAAGATTCTTCATCTCCCTCCCGTACCCGGAAATCTTTTAGAAAACTGCCATTTAGGGAGGGGGGGGGGGTGGTGGGGAGGTGGGTGAGGGGTATATAGCACATGGAACATGGAAACATGACTAACTAGTGGCCTTTTCTTGAAAAACAAATACGACTCTCTCTTGTCCCTCCCGCTCTCTCTTTCCAGCGACCAAACACGATTCTTCTCGCTGGGCTCACCATCGTGTCATGGTAGAGAGCGACTCCTCTTGCATTCACTGGACCATTCACAATTCAATGCGTAATAGCGTTTTCGAATTAAATGATGTCATTTGCAGGCGTTATTCAAAGTGGGTGTTGACTTCATGGGGATATATTGAATGGCCGTTTTTCATTTACGGCTACGGGACGTGGGCTGAAACCATAGTCGGCGCTGTTCTAATGGGATGGTTTCGGTGCAAAGATTCGTAGGCATCAAAACCATGGGGCTTGCTGTTCTTTTGAATGTTTAGGAAAGCAATAAAGGGGACTTTTTTCTTGATATGCAAAAACCTCTCTTTGGTCCAAAGTTCCCGGTGCAGACGCCTGGAACCGGATGAGGAATCCTTAAGCAGCGTTCAGACTTGTAGCGCGACGTAGCACTGCAAGTCTGAACGCTGCCTTATCGGGCCGTTAGGATGGTGTTTACTCGAACTCCTTCAACCGCTCATTTTTCCCGTTTCAGGATCATCTAGTCTGTGATGACAATGCTTTACTATTTGTGATAATTGACCAAAAGCCTAATTTGCACGCCCCCGTTCTGCTCGAAGCGTGGCGGGTGGGATAAGAGAAGATCGTCTGATCATAATAACATTTTTCCATGTTCCTGTTTTCCACGGTTTTTTTCCGTCATAGATTTAGACTAAGTTTTCACCCCACCCTGGCTCGCTTCTTGACACATTTTAGGAAGGCGTCTTGCATTTGGAAAACCCGGAAGAAAACCCTAGTGGTGGAACTCTAATATTTCGTTCTTTCAGAAGGCCCGTTGAGCACAACTGGCCTTAGCGTAAGTATTACACTAATGCCCCATCCCATTGAACGAAGACCTTAAGTAGCGCCTCTATCACATAGTTTCCGAGTTTTCGGGTGTCAGGCAGATCTCATGCGTCTGTCTTCGACTCCAACGCATGTAGGCCGCACTGACCCAAATAGAAGTTTAGCGGCAATGCCAATTTCTTTTTTAAGGGCTAAATTTGAGTTGTTTGATTCTGTTCACTCTGAAGAGGTCATTTGAAGTGCCATCCGTCGAGGAACTGATGGAGCTAGTCGAAAAGCAAGACGCCATGATGGAATGCCTTCAGGAAAAGCTGGATATTTCTAACGAAGAGATTCGATTATTTCGAGAAGCAGATCAAAAGAAGGTGAACTTTCAGAATTCTCAGTTTTTGCTTTCTACGATATCACTATCAGATCTTGCGATACTTTCTCTCTCAGAAGGCGCTACTTACAGAGCATCTTTCTATCTGGGTAGTTTAAAACGTTTGTTTTCAATATTTTTTACCTTCCATTTTTTCTTTTTCTTCTTTTTTTCTTTTCATTTTTCTACCTCCCCTTAGTGGAATGTCTACGGCATAGCTATGGTTCTAAGTCATTTGATAGCACAATGCCACACTTCATCAAGAACAAAACGAACTTTGATAAAATCCTGTTATTTGATAGTTGAAACTTATGATTCTGGGGTGGCCGGTCAGTTTTTGGGAGCGGAGTCGTTTTGAGGTGCATAAGCTCTTTTGACCGCGTTCATATTTCGCGTTTGGAGCTATTCGATTACACGACCGGTAGCCCACCAACGTCAGTGACTGGGCCAACGCAAATGACTACGGAAGTCATGTTTCGGACTGGTCGGGTTGCCACTTATTCCCTCCCGAGGTGACTTACCCGGCCGGAAAATCTTTCCCTGCCCTCCCCCATACAGATCGTAACCTAATGCTAACTAACGAATACTACGGCTTAACCGAATTCATACGCCAAACTTCTTTATCGTGTTCATTTTCTATATAATTAGGATTAATGTTCTAATTCATTCATTTTATAGCGTTCTTCCGAAAACGAGTCGCTGGCGATTGTTGCTGCCGCAGAGCAGAAAATAGCTGCTGCTGCGGCCGCAGTAGAATTACTGCAAGTATGTCGGTCCAGTTGTCTTCCAAGTCACGTTCGCATTTATGTAGTTTTCTGGAGAATTTTGTTCAGACCCGAAACGAGAAGTTGGAAGCTGAGCTTGAAGAGTTGAAGAGGAAGGCTGACGAGGCGAAACCAGTGGCGTCCGTCATTCAACTTCGCAACCGGGTCAAAGAGGTAGTTTTTACTTGCAGTCAGTTTATTTGTCGTACTTTTGCACTAGAAGCAGGTAGATTCTTTTGATTGGTACTGGATCTTGACTAATTGGAACCATTTTCTTTTCTTTTGTTTTTGGTTAAATACCCACAGTCTTCGTTGTGAATGAGTAGATGAGCTTCTCCGGGACAAACCTATTTTTTACCTGGAACTGAGGCGGGTAAGCGACAACAATTGGTGGAAAACGAGTGAATTGGGCGACATGACACAATTTTGTCGCTGACTCGCTTTTGTAGCTGGGAAAACGGGTTCAGCGCAGCACCACATTCATCCCATCTGACACACCCCTTCATCCGCAGCTAACAAGAATGTACTTAGCACTGTTCACGTAGCTAATGGATAACACAATTGTTTAAGCTAGAATTCGATCTAACTCGTGAGCAGCGAAATGTGAGTAATCTACAAAATGATGTCGATTATCATAAAGGCAGAGTGGAACAGGTATTTCTTGCTGATATTGTTTATTCTTGAACTGCAGTTGGCGAACGTGCTATAGAGGCCCTCGAACATTACTGAGAGTGTGCGTTGTCGCGCATATCTGCGACCATGCGTTGCGCCTTATGCATACCCTATAATGTCGGGTGGTTTTGGCCATGAACAGAATACCTTCCGATTTCTCAGTTCAGCCACCTGAACGATTTTTCCTCTTCAGCTTCAAAGCGAATTGGATGCCTGCAATGCCAAAAATATAAGTGTAACTTCATCACTGGCAATGAAATTGGAGGATAATGTGAAGAAGTTAGCTGATTTGAAGATCCGTTATCAATGTGAGTGGTTGAGTTCATTGCTTGTCAAATTTACCTGGATTACTGCTGCTTACTGCTTTTTATTCCAAAATTATGGGCAAAATGCTTGTTCCCATTCCATGACTCGAATTTGAACCTCACATTCACTGCACTAGGGTGCTAAGAGGACATAGGCCACGAATTGTATTCTCGGGTTAATGGTTTTTGGCGAAGCTTATCATCAACGGCACGCCTCGCACACTAGCCTGTGGCCAAGAGTTTTGCGCATAATTCCCATTGTTGTGTCATTTCGTGTGATGTTATTGAAACGCTCAGAACATTTAGCTATCGTGAATGAGCGTGATAGCATCACTTCTGAGATGGAAGGAGAGCTCGAAGTGCTTATGCAAAGATCCGCACACCTACAAGCCCACTGCGAAAGGCTATCGTCCGAAATGATGAAGTTAAGAAAGGAGTGCAAGGTTGCTGAGTGTCGTATAGCAGCCCTTGTGGAGGAGAACGCTATGTCAGAGGAAAGGTAAGGTTCTCCATTAGTTAGTTTTCTCGGTAAAAATTCCATTTCTCACATTAATCATCTTCAGGACTGGGCACAAGGAGTACGTTTTTCGAATGAAGATGGAGGAGAACGTTAGTTGTAAGCCTATACAGGTTTTTTACCATTTTTTATACAATAGCTCATTTGCAGCAATCCAGCGACTGCTGAAAGACCAAAGCCATTTGATCGCTGCCCTTCGAGAGGAGGGTAAACTACTTTTGGAGCAACTAGAGTCTGAGAGAAAGGAATACAGGTGTGGTGTCGTATAATTTTGAAAGCGCTTTATTTGTTTCACGATGGCATTTTCTTGAATTATGGTGGTTTTTGGTATGGATCTTGCATAGGACAGAAATAGCGTAGTTCAGTGGCTCGCTTATCACGCGCGCGATCCGGGGACATATCCGGCTTTTACCCTGTGGGGAGCTAAATTGGCTCCACATTCGTCTGTGAAGGATTCACTGGTTTGATCAGCAGCAGCCCGAAAGTCATTGTATAGGCCTAATCTCGTTCAGTAAGGCAGCATTCAGACTTCGCGACGGCAGCGTTCGGTGCGCGTTCGACGCGATCGATGCAGTGAAAAGCAGGCGCATCGATCGCGCCGAACGCGCGACTGAGGCACTGCTGTCGCGAAGTCTGAACGTTGCCGCAAAGTATGGACGCAGCCTAAGCCTTTCCCAGTCAGGATCCATTATGTAAGGGTCCTGATTGAGAGTAGAAATTACGCCTCCTCCCAAAAAGCGTTTGATTGACGGAAGAGACACATCTTTTATAGTGGTATTTTGAGGGTCCAGCTGAAGATTTTTCCTGTCTAGACTCTTTTGAACCCGTAACTATCCACGTTGACAATGGTGTATTGTTGGGGGTCCTACCCTTCCCTTTTCAGCAAATAAATGCAAAACGCTTGCCTTCCATGGCACATAATATATCTGTGCGTATCGGCTGGGTAGAAGGGGGTATTTAGAGGACTTCTGGGCTCCAGTGGGGGAACGTTATCGTAATTACTAGGTTGGCTGGAAAGTTCTGTCACATTTTTTCAAATTAGACTTTCTTTTTACAGAGAGGCGTACAAGATCAAAAGTATACAGCAATGTTATTGAGAGATCCTTGCCAGTTTTTCGACAGTTCGTGGATGCCATCGCTTAACAATGCACGCCGGCGCGACGTAAAGTTGGACATCATCTCAACTTAGACTTCGGCTCAAGTCGTGGAGGTTTTCTCGGCTATATAGCGGTTGAATACGGGAGGAGACTAGCAGTCAGAAAGAGCAATGTTTGGACTACCCCGGTGCGAGAGGAGAGACATCCAGCTCCATTGCATGAAGGCCGATGGATTTTGCCCTCTGCTTGACGATCCGTTTCAGATCTCGTAGCTGCCTTGCGTACGGATTGACCGAGGAGGCAGCTTCTTCATCCACTAGTTTCCCTACCCACCGCTATCTAGAGCTGAGTTTACAGGTACTCCCAAACCTCACTTCGTCATTTGAACCGTAGGCTCCCGCTCTGAAGAGCTAGCGTCGTGGAAGATCGTCTGATGACTGTGGACATTGCCCTTATGCAGCTCGATTATTTCGGCGTTGACAGCTGCCATGCTGGCGCAAGGGTGGTAGAAGAAATAGTTCAAGAACGCCTCGAAGGTCGCCGTGCTGAAGCGCTAACGCGGAAACATTCTTGTCCATAATGCAGAATAAGGATGAGCAGGAGCCGAGTCAGTGACACAGTGACACTAATAGAAAGAGCAATCCTTATTGTATAAATGCTCACATTACCGGTTAGCCCTCTTCAGGTAGTGAGCGAATATTTGGGTTCAAAAAAGATGACAGAACTTTCCCGCCAACCTAATATTTTTACAGTATCTCGGAGTACTTGGCAGGCAAGGGGGAGCTGGCAGACGGTGCTGGAATGAGGTAAGGAGTGATTGGCCCAACACGTATTATGATGGTCCCAAAACAGCAAAGTTCCACAATAGGGCAACCGCTGCCCCGTTCAAATGAAAAACGTCCTATGCAGGGGGGGGGGCAAAAAAAGTCACTTTGCCTCATTGGCTTTCGAGGCGCTATAAATTACACTTTATCAAATTCGGATCGGACATTTTTACTACCATATTGAAGAGCATATTAAGTACTATCACGACACTCCGCCACAGCCTTCTGGACGAACGCCATCGAGAGATTCTGGCACGCGATCGCGATGTGGTACCTGAGATCAGCGGGGTAGTCGATTTCTCCGCCACCGTAGACCACCCTCTTGAAGTCCGCCCGAACTAGGTAACTGAGTGGGTTCAGGTCAGGGGACATACTTTAATATTACATCTTCTTCTGGTACAAAACGCCCTTCCATTCGAAGTAGGCGGGAATTTTTCCAAAACCCTTTGATTCCATGTGGTGACACCCAAACCTGTAGCAGCACAAAGTCTCCAAGAAGGTACGGGCGACCACATGTAGGGAGGATATTCTTCTCGAGTTGCTTGATGTAATCGCCAGCGCTCACCTTCAGTCGGGGTCTACAAAGAAAATATCGGTCTTCCCCTTTCCAGGTACCCCGGTCCATACCATCAACTCGCGCCTCGGCGAATACGGTGAAGATGATGTCCTAGACCGTAGCGACGTTGCCGTAGCTGCTCGATGTGGGAGGTCTTGCAGATCAAGAGTACTGACCTCCAGGTAGCTATCTGTGGATGACTTCATTCAAGAAGTTTCGCAGCTGTTTGGAGGCGACGTGAATTCCAAAGGTGTTCTCCAGTCAGGCCGCGACTGGAGATGACTTCATATTTTGGCGTACATGAAGGCGATTGGCGGCAGCCTGCTCCAGCTTATAGAGGAAGACTTGGGTATCTCCCACTCTGGTACTCATATCCACTTCCCCTGTCTGGGCTGCGAAAACTTCGTTGATATGTGGCTCGGCCGAAATGACTTTTTTTGGCCCCCCCCTCGTACATCTCGGCCTATGGAGGTGACTAATGCAACCATTTGCCACCATTCCTTTGTTGCATTTGAAAAAAGCACAGTTCGTTTCAGGACAAAAGTCAAGTCATTCAAAAGGAAAAACGAGAACTGGAGGAGAGGCTTCAAAAGCTCTTATCTGTTTAAAATCTGCTTGCTGTGTGGAGGTTTATTTTGAGCTATTTCTCGTGTCATGGATCCGTTTGGGTTGAATAGATTTTTTTTCTCAGATACTTTATTAGTGCTTTTATGTTCCTAGTGAGATGACGATTTCTAAGCTTTGTGGTGTATTTAATTTGAGCGCAGTTCGGCGACGAGGAGGGGCTTGTTGCTTTTTCCCTGCTTCACTAATCCCGTTTACGAGTCCCGCTCTGGTCCAAACTTGGAACTCGCCGAACTGTTCCTTACCAAGATTGTTCCTACGGAGTTAACGATTTGCTCGCTTTCATTTGTAATCTCAGGTGATAGGATCTCAAAATTCATTCGATCTCTATGAATTATGTGATAAAGTTAGCTATCAAGTTTCATTGTCTCCAACTTTTCTTCAGATCATCGAAGTGCCTGGAGTTCTGTTGTTGGGTGATCAAGTCTGATCCAAAGACGTTGATAATCGGTCTGGGACCTGCAAAATTATGATGTTATATTATAGCGACCTAAAAGTTTTTTGGATGTTTGAGGGATTGATGAGGCAGCGGTCAGAGTCCGTGATGACGTGCGACGAAGCATTACAGTTGCAGCAATGCTCCAGTCCTGTAGACGCGAACGCGACCGCAGACCGAAATCGGGGCAGCTAGTGAGAGAGTATAGAACAAAAGGAGTGTACCAGACTGGGTGAAGCAGCGCTTGCAGTCATGCTATCCTATATTCTCTCGAAACACAAACGGCCGGTACTGATCAATTCGTGTACGCGGCTGCGTTACCGTCTATAGCATCAGAGCGCTTTTGCCGTCCACGACGCCGACGCGCGTTATAGCGGGTGATCGCAAAGTCTGAAGATGTTTTAGCGTCGAAGTGATAGGTCTAAGGAGGCTGAGACAAGAAGGCTCCCAATTTTTTCCAGAGGCACACGCTTTGTTGATAAGCACTTGCCTTGGCTGTCCACAATGCGGCGAAGCGGCGCTACAGGAGGCGTCGCGTGCGCGGCATTCGTTCCAGGACCTGAGGCCCTTGGTTTGGAAGTACTGCAGTGGGAGTCGAGACAGCTAGCTTGGCAACACCATTCTTGTTTTTGCACGTCACCGCAACGTGGATCTCGCGCTGATGTTGGGCACGAATTGCTGTAATGGGAGTGATCCTCGATCGCCAAACGTCTAAGGACGCTCAGCCGTTGGAATTCCTCCCAGGCCCCATGAGCGATCCCTTCTGAAAAATGCGAACAGTCCAGTAGTCCTACGACTAAAATCGGATGGGTTGATTGTTGGCGGAAATAGAGGACACTATCTGTGAAAATTCCTTCCCCCACCCCTCACCACTCCCTCAACATCAGTTGAGCGGGGGTGAGTACATTTGATACAGACAAAATGAAATCATCTTTGTTCCACTCGCTGACGATTGGAGAAAGAAAATTGTAGGAAATTGTGTCAAGTACATTCCCATTGAAATACAATAATGGGTAATATTTAAAAACTTCAAGTTCAGTTTTTCACGTTCATTACCGTTCTAGTAGCATCGCCGGAAAAACGTAATTTCCTGAGGGCTCATGTGTGCACCGAAGTTCTTGAAGTAAAGCAGGCGTCATTTGAATGCGAGGAACTCCGTCACGACGTAAATGGGTCTCCTATTGATAAAATCAGCTGTCGGGACGGAGCCAAGCTTGCTGGGTGCTACTCAGTTCGTTCAGAATACGCCACGCACAGGTCTTCGATTCGAGCTGTAAAACAGTTGACTGAGCACCACTAAATTTGCACGACCGAGGTGGTGTAGCGGAAGGTGGCAGGGGTAGGGGTGGGCGGGAGGAGGGGGAAAGGGAAGAGAATGAAGTCTCGGATCGGCTCCTGGCTAGTCCAGCCAAGCTGTCTATTCCTCCGACGTTGGCTGATTCGTCCAGACTTGTGTGGAACGACAAAACACCCACTTGTCCACCGATTGGCTCCACAAGTCATTGTGTAGGCCTAACGCAGGCCCAGGTGGCAGAGAAACGACCTTTGAATGGATCACTAGCAGGTTACAAGTTCTTCTTCCTGGTGTTCTTGTTCGGTAGTTGTCCTGCACGCTATATTCCTTTTGGCTTTATGAGGAACCCATTTCCAACTTACGGCTGTGTATAGGCCACCAGCACCACGTGCCTCACCAGATTCTTTGGCTATTTCATGTCAAGCAGCAGTGATGTGCGCAGCATTTGTTGGGTCTTAACCGTGAATCGGTTAGAAAATACTGTGCATTTCTACCGCGACGCCGCGACTCGAATGTAGCGCACCACACCCGGTGAGGTGCTGGAATACAGGTGAAGGGACAGAGACAGGCGCTGCCGAATGCCCAGTCCCCAACCACGCTAGCGCCAAAATGATTTCAACGATGGTCGAATGTCGAACCTACCTTTTGTAGTGACCTTGCTACTTGATGACGAAAGGCATCCGCAAAGAATTCTCGCCGTATTTGGATATCTACAGACAACCACTATGGATTCAGATAATTCTAGCCCAGATGAGACCTGCAATTTGCAAATTCAAAAATGTCTGCCTTAGTAGTGCGTTTTATTCCGGCATGGTGGAGCATTCTCGCGACAAAAGTTCATGTGAAACACTGCCTATTCTTCTTAAAAAGATTTAACGGGGGCGGGAAATGAGGCAGGATATGAGAGAATATCGCTTTTCTTGAACCCTCCTAGTAAACGGAAATGCTTGCTACAGTTTTGAATGCCTTGAGACCTGTGCGGTAAAATGCCCCTGCATTTTACCGCAGAGCTCTCAAGGCATTCAAAACTGGAGTACTGGATCGGACTGCGGTACTGAATTGCAGGCAATATGTCTATGATCATACGTCTTACCATGGTAATTGATATGTACAAGGCAAGATAAGGTGGATCCGAGGCACAACGTTCCGGATCAAAGACTTGGCGAAGACGGAAATATCCTCCCAAAGTATCGACAAGCGAGATCACAGTATCGAAGCCGATCATTGGCAGGAAAACCCTGAATAATTCAACGTAGCTATTCAGATTGAGTTGGTGTAGAATAAAGGGCGAAGTGGGGGTGCGGGGGCGACATCACTTTTGTTGCTTCTCATGGGACGGAGATCTGTTGGATCTTATTAGGCTATGAAGTGATGCCGCCCAAGTTTTACGCAAACTACTTTCTCCTGTAAAGCGGAAACAAGAGACATGGCGATGGGAAGTAGTGAAAGTGCAATGCACCCTCTCACCCATTCCTTCTCCTACTGCGCCCAAAATAGATTGGATTGGGCCCCAAATGTTCTTGTGTAGATTCCAGACCTTAATGGTCAAGAGCCATTGAGAGTGGAGGAAAAAGGGCTGCTGGATACGCCCCTGCACAGTAATTGCTTGTTGATCGGGAACTAGCCACCACTTACAAATATTGGCTGAAAAGGTGGTGAAGCAACAATTGCCCTGGGTAATCCGTAGAAGGACCAAACCCCCTCTGGACGTGAAGAAAAAAAATCCGTCTGAGTTCCCCAACTGCTGTAGGAGGGCAGTATTATATGTAACATTGAAGATTCTCGAGTCAGACCTTACCATCTGACATTGAAGTGACTAGATTGGTCCTAATGACTCACCTCAATGTTCGAATATTCTCAGTGAGTTGATATCGGGTGGATAGGGAAACGCCAGCTCCAGTGTATTTTTTGGTGAGTCGTCGGTTTATACAAAGAAGTGCAATGATACCCTGAAATGTTGTAGAGCGTTTTATCCGTGAGTTGAACCCTTGCAAGCAAGTTGGCGTGGCGCCAGAGTCATTTGTGGGTTCATCACGCGACAATCAAAACAGTCCTTGTTTGGAGCGGTATGGAAATCCCTCAGACTACATCCAGTGCTACTCATTTAATAAAGTGAGCTCGATGGTTGGAGGGGGGCGGCTGCTGCCAACGTCATTGGTGAGAAGGCGTGGGGTGGCTAAACTCCCTCATGCAGCGCCTTCACCGAAGATGTTATCGACGACCGCCTGCACTAAGCATTTTGTCCATTACCTTTAGAGCGCTGCAGCGGTCGACAGGAATGCTTCTAAGTGCCGCTTTAGGCAGTTTGCAGCGGTACAACAACTAGCAGTGAAGAGCGATCGGTTGAAACAACACGATTCCCGTATCGGAATGAACCACCCGAGTCGCGAAGTATGAACGCTGCCTAAGTTTCTGAGGCACTATACGAAATTTGGCCTATGGTCGCTTTCCACTCTCATCACAGGCTGGAGATCAGGACCAGAGCGATTTCTCCTTTGATCCTTCGCGACGTCAGATTACAGACGATGGATAGCGGTAATTGAGTTGCAAGAGAGTACTAGAACCCCGAGCGTCAGTCGAGGAATGAACAAGTTTTACGCATGAGTCCCAAGGCCGATTATAAGATAATTGCTCGAAATATTCGATGTCTAGTACATTTAACAGAATTGTATGGACCCAGTAAAAAAAAAGTAAGGATGATGTGAACGAAGAATGGGCGGGTGTAGCATCCGGGGCGGAGTCCAACGTGCAATGCAGTCGTGTTCGCTGCCGACGATGAGGTGTACCGGGGGACGGTATAGGCGCCGTCAGCCCGTTTTGCACCAGTTGCTGGAGCGGCTAAACGATTGGTAAAAAATGACTGATACAGATGATATGATACAGTCCGCTTGCTTGCCGAAAGAAGACAAACGGGATGGCGCTGCGCCAATCCCATCGCCTGGCACGCCCATCATCCGCAGCGAAGAAGTCTGTATGTAGCATTTCCATTTTGAATCGGACACTTTCCGAGCCATATTACACTCACTAATTGCACTGGACAGGTAAGCAACCGAATCACACTAGACGCTACTTTATGCCCCACCCCCGACAGCCACGCCCACATGTCTACTAAGTGAAAAGGATTGATATACCAGCACACTTCACTCCGCCCACTTCTGAGGGGTTAGTTGTGAATTTCGAATTTTTACAACAGTCGGCTCGATGGGGGTTGCGCTCCAAGCAAAGTTGGAACAGGCCTTTTTGTGAAGACCTGCAAATTCCTGTGACAAAAGTGACTAAGATGAAACATTTCATGCCTTCACAAGAGTTTACAGGTTTCGCCAAAGGGAGACTCGTTAACTGACAAGAAATAGCAAAAGGAACCAGTAAAAGTTCGAAATGCCCCCCTTCGAGCCGGAGAGCGCTCAACTTTTTTCAGTGCAATAAAGACTCCTCACCTGATTTAACATAGTCGACAAAGAAGACAAAACCAATGCAGAACGGTTGAGATAGAGCCAGAAGATACCATTTACGACATTTCTCATATGAATGAAAGCACAGCGTGGCAATGAGTCGTTCCACAAGACAACATAGTTGTAGTGGCATAATCATCAGGTATAAATAGTTGTAAAAGGTGGTGACCACGGTCGATACGGTATGGTTGAGACCATGAGAAAAATATATGCCTTTTTCCGCGCTCAAACTGATGTCACACAACGCGTAGAACAGTATCAGTTCCGCAAACAGCAATCTGAAAATCGACGATTAATTTCTGGTGGATAGGTCATTCTGGATTCTGGAGCGGCGCCAGCCCGTTTTCCATCGGCTGCAGTGGGGAAGGGGTTGACGCCGAACGCCACTGACACATCTTACTTCGACTTTATGCCCTTTTTCATTAAATGGCTGCCATGAAACAGTGAACCGTGTAAGAACAGGTGCTTCATCGGAGGCAGTATATAACATGGCGTTTAGGGGGGGGGGGCGTGTCCACAGAACTAGTTGTGAACGGCAGTGGTGGACTTGCCAGAACGGGCGCTGTCGTAGAATGTGTATGTATGAATATAAGTATGTATGAATATAATTAGGTATGTAATTAGTATGTATGAATATAATTATGCAACTCCGCCCACAGCATGTCGCTGAACACGCCTTCCAGCGTTGTGATGTGGACTGTACCCCATATCCTGCCACCTTTACTTTCGCTGCATTTGGATCCAGCTTTCCGGTGATTGGATCAAATCAAACGAAATTTGAAAAGTGAGAGCGTAATGGGTGGATCGAGATTCTTTTTTTCAGTGCTGGCTCTTGATTCGACCTCCTAGCTGAAGGCTGGCAGGCAAATGGAAGTACTATCGTACAAGAAAGGGGTGCAAAACTATTTGCTGAGACGAAATTTTCAACAATCTAGCATTTCAGCACATTGCTCAACAGTTTGGCGACTTGGTGGGGGGAACACTTTGCACTCTTGCTACTTCTCATCGACGTGTCGACTTGTAGAAACCACGTGTCAACTCTTGTGACTTCGTGGTGAGACTCATTTCGCAGGCTATTCGTGAGCTTACAAGGATTAATAATTTCACTGGAATCAGATTTGTGAACCGGAACTAGCGAAGCAGCGAATGTGCGGAATGCCCCCTCCTCCTTGGTCGAACTGTGCACAGTAGTCCATAGATAACTTTGAGGAATATTACAAATGCGGGTTTGTATAAATTCTCATATAAAAATATCAACAACACCAAAAACAGTGATAATAAAGTTGTCAACACCTTGTCAGTTTATATCTCCTCGTTCCCGTACTTAAGAGCACAGGGGATAAGAAAACAGCTTCTGGCAAGGGCACGTGTAGAAAGGAAACTACGAGCGGATTTACTTGCACGAACTCATTTATTCTGTTTAATTATTTCCCTGCGCACAAAGGTGTGAAATAAGCAGCTCAAAAACTCTTACCATCCATGAAACGTAAGAACTAAATAATGGTAGGGGCTGAATATGAACTGGGTAATTCAGGAAGAGAGGCTGGCAGCTCGAATGGTACGTATTAACTTTTGGACCCCAAGTGAGGAAACCACAGGGATCCTGAAGTAAGTTTAGTGCTGGCAAGGATTCAATTTACTCTCTTCCACACTTTGTCCATTTGAAGACTTGAAATGCCACACCATATTGATTAGCATGGCTATGAAAAGTCCAGTGAAAGGTACGGTGGCTATCGTGGTCCAAAGTTTGACGTGAAACAATTTGCTGTAAGTTTTTTGAACACTTTACTGTTTTTAGAGCCCCTCACTTCAGACGGCAGTTTCAAACCACCTGGCCGTGCGATAGAGAACAAGATTGCACAAATGAACTCTTTTTCTCCTATCTATCTTTGCTTGGTTACTTAATCCTGCTCGTTCTCTGCTAGGCAAAAAAGTACTTATACTCCATATCCCATATCAAGAGAGGACGTGCCTACTTACGTCATTAGGGTGCCTTTCTGAGATATTTCCAAGCGGAAGCGGAAGTGGTGTAGTGTCAATGGCGCGCTTACCGATCGCGCGGTCCTGACTTCGAATCCCGGGTCGACTTCTGCCCAGGCCAACCAGCCTTCTACCCTCCGTGAAGAGTAGACTGGTACCAGATTCGCCTGGGAGGATAGGAACACTGACTTGAACATTGGCTGCCTCCGCAAGCCATTGTATGGGTCACATCTCAATAAACACTACAATTGTGAATGGAAACAAAATGCGTGCCGCATCCCACAGAGGGATCCATCAAAGGCGGAGAGTTTATCTTTTTATCTTTGTTTCCATATAAGACGACTATCTCGTTGCCATGTGCTTGACAGAGGTACGATTACAGTTGTCCCTTAAATGGTACTATTGCTCTAGAAGAGCAGTCAACACCACGTTCACGTAGAATACGCAGCCACGCCCCCGTCTCCGTGATATGGGCAGTACATAGAGACAGTTTTGTTCCCGGCGGTCTAGATATTCGAGGTTATTCAAATTCACCCTCTCAATCAAGATCAAAATGAAAAATCAAAAAAACACCACAGTATGGTTGAGGGGATGCGGATTGGATAGCTGTAGGGAGAGTCCCTACTTTGGGATCGATTCCCACCTCAGAAATCGCTTCTCCCCACGCCGCGTGTACACCTTGATGCCGCACCATATTGCGAGATATGTTCATATTGGAGCCATTTCGTCACCAGTCGGAAAAATACTATTCAATCCTTCGATTAAGATTGTCGTTATATATCACGACTCTACATTACTTGATATTTGTAAAACTTTTAATTTTTTATGAGAACTACTACTAAATTAATCCCAACTTGTAGCGTCTGATGGGGAATCCGCAAGTGGCCATCATCTCGGCTGCCTCTGACTCACATACTATTATGCAATAGCAATCCCCCTCCCTTCCTACAGTTCCAGCTTTTTTGACATAGCTTCTCGTAGGTGTGTGAAGACAATTTCCCGTAAAGGAGAGAATACTGTTGCACTTTTCTTAAAATTAGAGCTCTACAAATTGGTACTAAGAATATATCTTCTTGAAATGAGGAGTTCATGCTCAGAAAGTTGAGTAATTACTATTGGGAGGAAGGAGAGTCCCACGGCATTTCTAAAGGCGAAGCTCGGCAACGGGCAAAGCGGCTTGCACGTTAGCTGTTTCCCACTGGCGTATTCATTGTTTAACAAGAGTTGACGGTATCCTTTAGAAGAATTGACAAGTAGTATCCACAAGCTTTGGAAGGTACATTCTTAAGGCTCCACAAGATTTTACAAAACTCTACTTGCTAGGCCGACACGGTAATGGGAAACAGCGAAAGTGACGCAGTTGGGCGACGGAGTGAGCCCCCCCCCCCTCCGCCTTGTAAAGAATCCCTTGACTCGGGAAAAGGTTGGCTGAGACATTGAGTTTTCCAACAAAAGTCATGCACATGAGGGAGAGGTGAGAAACGGAAGAAAAGGGAGAAAAACTCTCTGCAGGGGCAAAAACGGGTTGAAATATTAGGTTGTCCCAAAAGTTTGTGGACATTTTTTGAATCTCGTATAAGATCTTTCCGCAGCCATTTCGAGATCCAGTCATGTGGTCTATGGGAAGTGTGTTAGGTGGGCATCCCACAGCTTCTTCACCGTCCCTCGCAGTCGCTGTTATCATATAAAAAACGGTAATTGAAACTCATCATTTTTGACACACTTCGCTATATGAATCTCTACCAAGCCACAACGTGGTTGGAGCCATAAGCGGCCTTTCCCTTATTTAGAGCTTTACCTTCCACAGTACGGCTTTGGAATAGCCCAATTGTTTCCGCTTTAGTGACTTCTAACTGGATGAAAAACTTCGTCCAAGGAGGCCGCCTGCCTTGGATTTGAACCTACTGCGTTCCTTGATTAGAACCAATACGTACAAATCAATTTGCTATCGAGTCCTTACACTTGACTGGCCCCAAAGCACAAATGGGAGAGGGCCTCACTTTCTTAGAAAAGTTCTGAAGTTTGGTCAAAATTTTTCTCATATGTTGACCAGTCCTCCACGGGGAGCACATGTGAGTACCGTCTACAACTTTTCTCCCACTTCCGCTGTACGGACCTGTTGAACAGCACTGTAACTGGATATAGAATGGGTGAATCTGTAGTGGTGTACTGTAGTGTAACTCGATCCAGGTGAATTACTCCCGGGAGCGCCAGCGGCTAGATCCCACAGAAAGGGCAGAAGCGATCGCGCAATCCTATCAATCCAGTAGGGCGATGAGACTGTGTATGTGGTGGGGTTTCTTGCTCCCTTCCCATAATGGGATTTCTTCTTCTCAGCGCTGTGGTAACCTACGAACCCAATTGTAATCAACTGCAAAGGGGGGTTGAAAATCGCTATCATGTGGTCTCAAAACCGAGCAATGTTTGACTACTCCACCACAGCTCAGGGCCACACATTTGGAAAACGACACTGCTCGGGATCCCGAAGCTTAGCTGGAGAGATCCACCGCAGTTTTCACGTAGCCCTGACTTAGCTCTTTCCGATTGTCGTCTAAATTAATCCCAAAGCGGCCATCTTCTGGGTAAAAAATACGATTTTTGATAGTACCTGAAAAATGACCCAGCTGTCTTTTGGCACAGAACCAAGAGGCTTATGGAAGCAGGACAACCACACATTGCGTAGTGATTGGCAACAAGTTACCAATGAAGGTGACATATATATAGTTGATCAAAATTGCTTCCCACTGGAATAAACTTAACTCGAAGAAATGTTGGAAAGTTTCACGAACTTTTGTGACAACCTAATAGCGAAATGTTTTAGTGACGTCATGCTGTTGGGCTCGGGAGAGGGGTGAAAAGGAGAGAAGAGATAAAAACTGTCTACAGAAGCAAAAACGAGTAGAACTAGAAAAATGTTCTAGAGACGTCATGCCGATGCGCTCCGTGGATGGCATAGCAATGACGACCAAGGGCATTTTCGAGATAAACGGTTTGGCAGCTAAACATTCAACTTGGTTATTCGAAAACACGATGGATAAGGACTGTGATATCCGGAGTTCTTCGTGGGACTTTGCCCGCGCTATCTCCGAGGCGCAGGGCTTGCTCGAAACCAAAATCTCGCAGCGAACACACAGAGGTAGAGAGCAACTACAAGTGAAATGGCGCAGACAAGTAGCGCGTTCGGTTCTGGTTGGCTGGCCAAACGCGGGCAGAGCGCCAGACGGTACCGGAATGTTACCACCCTCTAGCTCCGTACCCTCGCATTTTCAAGCAGAGAAAGTGGAACGCTACTGTAGT